TAAGCAAGACAAAATTGAGAGCATCTTGAGAAATGGCAGATTAAAATACCATCATAATGAGGGATATAATGCTGTAACTGGGCCATCAGTCATTCTTTACACAACCAATTCAGAGGGGCCGTTTGTCACATCTGGCATTCATCTTCACATGATCTGTGGGGCAAGGAGGAGAGATATTAGCAAACATTCTATCATGTACACATACACAATAGAATGTCCAGCAGTTTCATAGCATAATGGGCTTTGAAAATAGCATGTGGTGCAATGGGGCATTACCTCCTTCTGGCACTTCAACAGTAATATGCATCCAGACACTTACTTTATTGCATATGCATATGCAATGACTACATCTTCAACCTACCAATACTGTATGTGATCTGGAAAATCTGAACTTAGCTTGTTTTGTGTAAGACTTCAAAATGCTCCTTGCTTTTGCTTTCATCCCCTCCATCAATTCCTTAATCAGTGGCCAACATGCTGCCCTCACTTCCAGTTCATGTTCAACCTCACACCATATTCAGTCAGTTGCACTCACAGACAGAACTTCATTCTTCACATTTGGGCTGAATTGGAGCACTGAAGATAAATTCCACCACAACAAAGCTCCATCTCACACTGATAAAATCACTTTTAACTCCACAAATTCCAAGTTTTTATGAAATCATTTTCATCTCAAGTCTCTCAATATCACTTATATGCAGCAGTCTAGCATGTCAAAATCACATGCAGATCCAAATCTTCCAAACTGCCCTATAAATCAAGAATGGCAAATCTCACACAAGGTTAGCACAACAAAATTTCCATGGTAATTTGTGACCTCTCATTTCAAATGACCACAAGTTCACAAGCCAACAAATAAAAATTAAAAAATAGAAACTCGAAGTGAATTCCTATTGGCTCCTAGTGTAATTGGACCCTCATGCGGTCCATAAAAAAATTAAGAAGCCAAAGATCCGACAGGGATGACACCCCCCGCAGCTGGGATTGCTGTTGTGGTGGGGCGAGCATCATTGGGATCGCCATCAACCACTCGCGGGAGTTAGGCGGAGATAGACCGGGCTATTGCACCAATCCCCATCACCTCGGGCTACCCAATACCACCTACCGGGCCACCAACACACACAAAACCAACATACCAACAGACCTCACCTAATTCTTGAAGTCTACAACATGATGCAGCCGTTCTTCTTGCTCAGGCCGCGGTACTCTGGCCTCGCGCTACTTGCCCTGTCTCTCCTCCTGGTCCAACACGCGCAAGCGGTACGGCACTCAACTTTTTGAGAGGATGTTGGTGCTGGTACCGATGTGCAATTGGCTAATTGGGTCCCATGATATATCTGCAGACGACGTGGGTGGTGGATGCGAGCGGGAAGGGCAACTTCACCTCACTCGACGCCATCTACAGCACCAAGGTCAAGCCGGGCGACATCGTCTACATGCGCGGTAGGGCTGCTATTTAGATCTAGATAGCGCGTGCAGTGTCATCTCTTAATTTAAAGTTATATTCCACACAGGGACGTTCACCACCGTGCAGACCCTGCAGAACATCAATGTACGTTCATGTTGTCTCACAGGGGGGGGGACCACCAAGGCAATATAGCACGAACTGTTAGTTGATTGTTGAACAATAATGGTGAATCCACCATATGTACAGGGCACGAAAGACAAACCGATCACCATCACCAGCTATCCTGGCACGCGTGCCATTGTTGACGGCACCACCGCCAACCCCGGCGGCTACCAGGTTCGTCTGCGCCCACCTGCAACCCTCATATCACGGGAACCCAGTTAACCCAGCTTAAACCTGGTCCATCCCCAAGGGACTTGTGCGGCTCAACCTGTGCCACTTTGTCGTGTTGGACAACATCATCGTTCGCAACTCTTCTCAGTCCGGTGCGGCGTTACATCTCCTCGCAGCACCTCACTTCTTTTTGATCTAAAATTGCTGGACTAGACACCTTCATTCACCCATCACGCGTTCCAACAAAACAGGTATCTCGTTCTATTACAACAGTGACTCGGTCGTCCAGAACTGTGAGGTCCACGACGTACAGATCAGGTACCAACGCCAGCCAGTGAACGTGGTGCGGCATCCATGAATGGGGCACTGGTTAACCAAAGTTCTTGCCTATGCCACAACAGGGGAATCGGAGGGTGTGGCGACAACGTGGTGATTCGCAACAACACGGTCTACAATGGCTGCATGCAGAACTATGCCGGCAAATTTGAGTCCTGGTCGCAAGTTGTCTCGTATGCCTCGCCGCTCACCACCACCACCGCAGCTCATGCCTGAAACACCGGTGCGACTTACTCAATCCCCCCCACATTCATTCATTCATTCAGGAGCGATTCGTGCTCGTCGACCACCAAGTTCAACAAGAACTGGGTGATCGAGTACAACAAGGTCTACAACAGCTGGGGCGAGGGCATCGACTGCATCCAGGTACATCTTCACCGCCACGGGGCACAATCGAATGGGAAGAAAATAAGCGACCTTAACTGACATATGGTTCGCGTTTTTCTTTTTTCGAGGTGTCCGGCTGTGTGGTCAGGCACAACGTGGTCTACGACACCTACTCTGTCAACATCTGTACGTACTGCCGCGCCAGTGTATGACTTACACTGACCCACACTGATGTGGTCTGCAAAAAAATGACTCAACAGACGTGGACAATGCGAACGGCGTGGTGATCGACAGCAACTACATCTACTCCAAGAACACCAGCTACTACCGCACCACGACCTACACCTGGCCGGCGACCGGCATCCTTGTCGGAGCCGAGACTTGGCCGGTACTACTGCGCTAGAGCGGCCTGCGCCCATGTTCTCTCATGTCTGACGTGCTGCGCGTGCATCATTTTATTTC